TTAATTATAAATTAGATGTGATAGTTATGAAATATATTCAATAAATCTCGGCTTGCAATTGGGAAATATTCAATTACACATTAATGCTTAAATCTTCTGTTATTTTCTCGTTTAATCGTAAATGTTTCTTTTATTCGTAAAATACCTTTTTTGTATCAATATAGAATTGTGTTTTTATTATTTTTGTATTAATTTAGTGTATTTTATACGTATTTACGTATTATTTTCATTTCACTTACATTTCTTTATTTTGAATGTTTATATTACATTTATGACAGTATACTTTTTGCATAAATTCTGTTTATAAATGTCTTTTTATTGAAAATTAGTTCGATATGTAATAATCTGCGCCTCTTTGTAATTGCAATCTTCGATACAAATTTCAAATTATTTACCATCATGTACCAATCAACTCATTCCAAATGACGTGAGGCCTTTAATTTCACGCGCTTAATTACTTACCCCTTAATTAAACTCAAAACACTCGCTGGCTAAAATTCGCAAATTACTGCAAGCGCCATCGCTAGTTTGCACATTTTTACAAATATATTAATATAATATATCGGATAATCAATACCATTATTTGTATTCGTTTATCGTGGTTAAAAGCACGTGTGTTTCACAATAAGGTATAAATTATTTCCGACATCTCCTTTCTGCATAACTAGGACGAACAAATAAATGTTTTTCACTTAAAGTCTTTCTTCTATTCGAAGATGTCGTTAAGCGCCTAAGTGCGGATGATAATCCAGGAATAACGTCGAATAGTTCTCAAGATGGAAAGCATAAATCCGGAAAATTGTATTACTCGACACCGAATAAAAATATATCTCAGCCTTTTTACGATCTTGCTTCGACTCGAATTTAAAAAAAAAAATTATACATCATTTTATTTTGAGTGCTTCGTTACAAGATAGAATTTCAGATAAATATGCAACTTGAGAAAAATTATAGGATGTTTGATATTTAATAAAGAGAATTGGAAAGATAATCTTTCGATGCGAAATAAATGATTTTTCAATAACATTTTTTCAGAAACAGTCCTGTTTTAAAAATCTATATGAAATTGCAAAATATCGATGCGCGTATAATTACGATACTAAAAACATATATCGCTACTTGGTTTGAAAAAAGACTACTAATAATTATAACATTTATTATATATTATTAATTATTATAAGATTTTCCAAAATTGAATCATTCCTTGAAGTGGAAATTTGTCATGAATTGCGTGAAATTTCGTTTGGCTACCGATTTCGCTCTACAGCATTAGAGATCCGATTTGATCCCCGCGTCGTAAGTACGCGAACTGAAAGGATATATCCCTCTGGGAAACAAGTATTCAATTACAATAATAACGTCGATTTACAAAAGAGTCGACTTCAAAGGCTTTACTTGGCGACGTGCGTCGCCGTTACCACGGCAACGGAAAGAAAGATATGAGGAGAAAGGTGGAAGTGAGTCAGCAAAGGGAATGGAGAGAGAGAGAGAGAGAGAGAGAGAGAGAGAGAGAGAGAGAGAGAGAGAGAGAGAGAGAGAAAAAA